TTCCCCCCCCCCCCCCCCCCCGGTGTTTGGTTCCTTGATATTTTTTTTGTTATTCATCTTTGCAAACATTTTCTCTTTCCAAACCACTTGTCAGTCTCAGCAAAACAAAAAAAACATGTTTTTTAAATGAATGTCTACACTATGTTTGGTTCAAGGAATTTGAAAGGGAAAGGAAAAGAAAATGAGAAAGAAAACATTTTTCTTGTTCGGTTAGAGAGGAAAAGAAAACAAAAGTGGAAGGAAAAGAAAATAAAAAAGCAAGATATACTAAGAGGAGGGAAAACCAAATTCCTTACATTTTGGTGAGGAAAGTGAGGGGAAACCATTTTCTTTTCTTCCAAATTCCTTGAACCAAACATAGTGCTAATATATTTTTCCAAAGTATTGTTCAAGGTGTCAATGGTTTGTTCTGCTTACCCCTAATTCCTCCAATAGTTGCCAATACTGAGTTTGCTATGGAAACACTAATGGCCGGAAGGTGCAAAAAGACTAAAAAGATACTAAAAAAGTTGAGTTACATCGATGAATAAGAAAACAACACTTTTACAAGGTTCAGAAGAATTGATAAGATAAACGAGCCGATTTCTAATCTGGACGAGCATGCGTGGAATAGTAATATTTGTGTGGTGGCAAAGTAACAAAACTACTAATGCTGTTGAATTGGGTTTTGTAGGGCAGGTAATTTTATTTGTTTTAATATTTTTGCAGCAATGGAAATGTGTACTTGAGGCACATTGTCAAGTGATAGAATTATATTTGAAGTCAGAGGTGGATTCGCTAGTTTGAGATACTTCCAATCTCTGTGCCTATCTCTCATAGGTGGCTACATCATAAATTATAAGGTCAGATGCTCTCTGCTATTATAAAAGATGATTTGTTTGGACAGTCTTTGTTGTTTTTTTGTCCCAAAAAAGATTCATTATTTGGACAGTAATTTTTTTTTGGGTATTTTCCATTCCTCCCCTCCGCTCTCCACGCCAGTTTTCATTGTATAATTTATCTGCATTGTAATGTGAAGTTCCCCCTCCCCTTCCCCCAGATATATTGAAATACTATACGAGAAGTGCCACATGTAAGAAACATTATAATATTTGAACGGACTGCGTCGGAGCCAATTTTATGCTTAAAAGTTGTACTCATGAGCGATTTAAGATGTAATTTGTCAGGTCACGAGAACGTTTTATGCAATGTAGTCAAATATATTGTGCAAATTTACATCACACAAATATTTGAATGCATTTCATGACATCTTACATTTCCTTGGCTGTTGCTTATATTACATCTTACCACCAATATATTTGTGTTTTTCAGATTTTGGTGCTCTTTTCTCATGTTAGAAAATTGATATAAATTTTCTCGCTAGTGACCGAACTTCTGAGTAATCATGAAGTGAATATTTCAAAAAGCTAAAACTAGTTATGAAGTGCTTCATATGCAGTTGTTTTGTTTCATGTTTGGAAACTTAAATATGCAGTTGTTTTTTGAGGATTAGATGAATATTCTCTCATACAGATTGTTTTATTTAAAGTAAAGTATCAATATTTGTCCCTGATTATGGGCCATAGGTCATGGTGCATTATCGGCAGTTGGGTGTGCTAAATTTAAACGGCCAGCTGTTAGGCCAGGCCCGATCGACCTACATACCAGCAACAATCGGCCACCCATTGTCCCTGCCACCAAAATGCCCCCTTGCTAGCTACCCGTTGTCTGTGGCTACCTCGCATGTCACTGACAATCATTATTTTAAACGTCCCCGACCCTTTTATATCATACGAGTACTTCAGAATCTACATTAATTCTTTTCGTTCTACTCGTCATTCATATCTATTCGTCTGACTCATCATTTTTGTTTCATTCATATCCATTTCTCAAAAATACTCCGTAGTGGGATAAAGTGAGTATTTCTTTTAGATTTCAAAACTAATCATCTAATACAGAGTATCATATCATTCCCTAGAAGACGAAGTTCATTCTTATTAAGTCCAATGATATGCCAACTATAGTCAATATACATACATATGTTAGTTTGCCATATTATGAGACTTTCCGTTTCAACGATATTACTCTCTTCATTCTTTTAATTGATCGTAAGTTTTTATATATTAAAAAAGTATTGTTTATATAAATCAATTTCAAATGTTTTGTGTGGTTCAAAATTACTCTTATGATTTTTCTTGAAATATTTTGAGTTCGTGACAAAAGTGGATATAAAATAAGGTTTTCATTATGAATGAACCTCAAGTTCCTTCATATAAACTCTTTGTCAAAACAAATATGAAAAACTTATGTTAGGATCACGTCAGGTTTGACATCAATAATTTGACACAAAGTGTTTCATAGACATACAAATTGTTATCAGATGCGTATATTTGTGAAGCATTTGATGCAAATTTCTTAGTGTCAAAATGGAAGAGTTTCGAGTATTTTTTTGAGCAATTAGAATTTGATCAACCCGTTTTTTACTTGAATCCAACCTTAAATTAATGGGTTTTAAGCATTTCTTTTGAGACCTGAACCCAAAGATGAAAGACTCGTTAAAATTTAAGATAAATAAGAAATAATTTAATCGAGCCAGATCAAAACTAATCAAATAAGTAGTAGAGAACAAGCCCTTACCGTATATGTTTTTTTATTTAATGTGCCCAAATTAGTCTATTAAATTGTACGTTAAATTTAAAATAATATGAGATAACATATTTTTTAAATTAGAAAGAGTAAATTTTCAAAATGGTAATTTATAACTATGCGTTTTTCTAAATTAGTCCTAAATTGAACTAAATGGCGAGATAGTACCACCTCGGTAATTAATTAATCTTGGAGCTAATTTATAAAAACACATAATTATCGAGTCTCATTTTAGGAATTTTCTCAATTAATTTTTTAAATTGAAAACGAATGGATATGGCCTAGGGTTTGGTGTCCTACAGAGTGCAGACCAATGCCCACCAAATAAAATGCCAATGCATCACAATATAAATGACTATTTCCTTCTAATTCGTGTAAATAGCCCCGGACCGTCCGATGCGTGCAGCCCACGAAATTAACCAACGGCCCAAATGGTTTACAGCCGTCCGATCTCTATCCCCCTCCATTTATTTCCTGTTCTCGTTATCACCATCCGTCAGATTCTCTCTCTCTCTTCATTGTCTGTCTCTATTTGTTTATGTACACACAATTTTTTAACGAATCTTTCATTTTCCCCCCTTATCTTCTTCTTCTTCCCGCTCCCATTTTCGGGGTTTTGCTTCCTTTCGCCATTTAAATGCGATCTGGTTTCTCCCTCTAAGTTTCTATACTTTTTCAGTAGTAGTTTCTCAGGCGCTGCCGATCATGGATCTGACTGAACAAACGGTCAGTGATTCCTTTCGTCATTTGATCGAATTCTCCAGCTCCGATTTACAGTTAATCGCGATTACTGGTGCGATCATGCTTTAATCGCTTTCTTCTCTGTGTTTTTTTTCGTTTTTGCAGAGATCGGAGTCGGAGGAGAGCAATGCGAGTAGCCATGTCAAGAGCTGCAGCGATTGTAAAACCACCAGAACGCCGCTCTGGAGAGGCGGCCCGCGGGGGCCTAAGGTAAATCGGATTTCTGTGGTGATTTTACTCTTTAGTTGTTGGATCTTCGTTGTGATGTGGTGAAATGTGGTTGCAGACGCTGTGTAACGCTTGCGGGATCAAGTACAACAAGAAGAGGAGGCAGATGCTCGGCCTGGACCGGGGGAGGGAGGAGAGGAGGAAGAAGCGGATGCAAGGCGGCGGCAGAGTAGGCGTTGCAACCAGAGGAAGCGGCGGCGGCGGGAGCACGGAGTCGCTGAGGACGATGTGGATGGCGCTGAAAGGAGAGTCGGCGATTCGGCGATCGGAAAAGCTGTTGAGTCAGTTGAGGGAGGAGGAACAGGCGGCGATTCTTTTGCTGGCTCTGTCTTACAGCTCCGTTTACGCTTAGACCCGACCCGGCCCGGCCCAGAAACAAATTTTACCGTTGCGGTGAAACGGCTTGAAACCCTAAAGCCCCGATCACCGCATTGGGCGGTTTTTACCGCCGTAAAATCCCTCTAGGTGTAGGATTTGCTAATCCATTGTTAACCTCTAGCTAATTCTGATTGTTACAAACAATAAATCGAAAGGCTATGGAAATATGGAATTGTACTGTATGGTATGGTAATAACCGATGGAGTAATTTTTTTTTCTTTTTGAGAAAAAATTTCTAAATTTTGAAATTTAATTTTGGATTTTATTGCTGGGATTGGACCCGCTGATGTTAACATTTGCTTTAAATTGTCGTCTTGTATCTCGACGGGCTCATCAATTTCAATGTCTGTCTTTGGGGACAGTGATCTTTTATTGCTTTTCCCGGTATACAAATGAATTTCGGGGGAAATTTGAATTTCAAAATTCACTTTGGCAAATTTTAGAACCCCAAAGATCTGGAGGGAAGCGATTTTGCCGGATGTGAAGAGTATTTTTATGTATAGGTGTTTCTTAATACCAAGTATATTCCTTTAAAAAAATTACTTATAAATTGTTTGTAATTTTAATACTCCCTATGTCCTAATTTAAATCGTCTATTTTGAATTTTGGGCATATTTAAGAAAAATAAAAAATAAAGTTGATTTTCCGAAATTGTCATTACTTTTTAGAAGGGGTGATGATGAATGAGAAGATAAGGTGAAGAAGAGTGACTTATTTTAGGGATAGTTTAGGTATTTTATTTTTAAAAATTTACGAAAACAACTAACAGGCAATTTATTTTGGGACAGAGAAAAAAGGCAAAAAGCAATTTAAAATAGGACGGAGAGAGTACTCTTTTATGGATTTTGTAATGAGAAACGAATTTAATAAAAGGATCCGACCAGATATATATATCTGGGTCACAGTTCAACCGGCTGACCGATCCAGTCCGTGTTTCAAAACATTGGCCCGCACCTTTATCTCCAAGCATAGAAACCCCATTTTATTTTAATTTTATCTAAAAAGATATTATTTATCAGCCTGGTTCCATGTCTACTCTATTTGAATGGTCATGAAAAGTACTATCCCAATTCGGAAACCTCGTTCACAAAATTAACATTGCCTATCCTTTGAATGCTCATCTTTCTACTCACATCAATTGCATGGGTGGGGGGATGAGTTGGGATCAATACTCTGTGGGTGGAGGTATGAGTTGGGATCAATACTGTGGGGTATTTGCTCGAGAGAGGGTGTTAAGGAAAATTGTAACTACCAATTTTACGAAGGGAGTATGGTAGAAGAGTAGTGGCTTCTATTGCCACTCAAAGATATTTTGAATTCTTTTTTATTTTCTCCAAACTACCCATCGTCGGGCCCATCCGTAAACCAATTAATAAATCTTGATTTCGAATCTTTCCAAACAACTTAATTTAAATTAACAGAATCCTTATTATTTCTTTAAGATTTTAAAACTCATATCATATCTCAAAAACTTACTAAATAACCACTAAGGTTTACCGTACATAATATTTGTAAATCAACATATAACAGTGGTAAGTAAATACTCCATCCATTCTAAGATTAATGTCACTATGCACTATTAATAGTTTAAAATAAAATATGAGTAGACATTACAATTTTTAACACTATCCATTATATATGCTCTAAGAACTTGTTCTCTGATTGGATTCAATATAATTTTGGTAGCTTTTAATCTAATTTGATTTTAATTATATTTAAAATCGTTTCTAATCTGATCTGATCCAATCTTATTCCAATAAAAATAAGTTGAAGAAAATCAATTCTATGTATAATAAAATGCGCCAGTCCCCTTACCATGAGCCCAAAAGACCCTTGTATCCCTACATGACAAAACTATATCAAAAACTTCACTGGGTTTGGGCCCTGGCTATGGGCCGAAAAGCCCATAAAAGGTTTTTTTTACCACTAGTCGGCGAAATGCAATGCAAGATATCCACCAATCCACCATTGGCAAATTTCCTTATTTGCATATAATGTTGAGGGGGAATATTGGAACTCCATTTTTATGCTTAAATCTAGACCTGGCAAAAAATGACTTGATCTATTTTTGTACCGAAACCCGACCTGAAAATATGGGGTTTTGAACAAAGGTTTTGATGACCGAACCCGAAGTTGACCGAACCCGAAATAACCCGCTAAAAATAGGTCAAACCCGACCGAACCCAAACACGACCTGACCGACCCGCTAAAGCAAAAGTTTTTTGAAATTATACACTTTACAACTCGTTTTTAATGTATAAATTTATATTTTCACACAAAATTTTAAAGATATTGCATAATTATCTTACTTTTTTCTAAAACTTAAGCATTTTTTAAATTTCTTATATTGATTTTTATATCTAAAAATATTTTCAGGATTTAGATTTGAATAATCTAATAAATTTAATACTTTTTTTTTGATATTTTAAATTTATTTAATAGAAAATGTAGGTATTAATGTGAATTTTAAAATTTAAAAAATCAAAGTCATAACCCGTTGGGTCGACTCGAACCCGATGACACTGGGTCATGAACATACTATTTTCAACCCGAACCCGAATTGACCCGAACCCGAAATAACCCGAACTCAAAGTAACCGAACCCAAACCCAACCTGACCGACCGTTTTGGCAGCTCTACTTTAATTTTTTCCAATCCTATAGAACATCCCCAAACCAAACAAAATTTACGACAAAAAAATAATGTAATAAGATTTCATGATGGTATTTTTTTATGAAACCCAAACAAAATGTGGAGAAAAAATCCCATGATTGGACTGTGCCTCGATATGTCGAGTAAGAGCACTCCCAATTGTGAGAAAGGAAAATTTCCTCACCAATCTCTCTTGCTACTTAGCTAGACTTTCTCTATTTCCACCTCACTTTTTTTTCATAATACAATTTTTTTTTGCATCTCACCATTGAGGAAAGTTTGTTTCTCCTCCCAATTATTAATCCCTCGCTCTCTCACTCTCTCCATACTTTGGTGTGGAAAATTTTCACTCCACGTGTGTGAAAAAATAATCTCAAGTGTGAATTTTTTTTCCCACGCCCTTGAAATGCTTTTAAAGACAAAAAGTTGGCAACTTGTAAAAAAATTTCCCATTGGATGAGAAAAATAGTACAAAACCCGCATGAGTAGATCAACTGGTCTGAGAAGATGATATCAAACATATTGATTCTAAGGTCGAATATCGGCAGCAGCATTGTAGGAACTCTACTATTTCTAATAAATTTTTGTGCACACCGAATACGGGATGCTCTTTCTAAGGACCTGATTGAGATTATATCATGATTTACTTTTCTCACAATTCTATCAAGCCGAGGTGTGAGGATGCCAGGGTTAGCGTTCCACCTTTTTTAAAAAAATACAGTACTACAAAAATACATTAAAATAAGACATAAGAATAAGACTAAAACTCTATAAGAGCCTCAAAATCATAAACGGCAGAACCAAAATATGACGAAGAAGAACCTTTGGCCTAGCTAAGTGTCCAATTTGAAATACACTCTTGGGATAGAAGTAGCATAATTCTTTCTTTTTTTTTTGGCAACAACTAAAAAAGTAAGGAGTAAAATATGTTTGATTAATGTAAGAATTATAAGATCAATGATCAAAAATAATAAAAATACGGAGTAAATTGCCATCTCAATACACTACTACTATTCAAAGAAAAATGAGTTTATTTTAAATTACTCTACCAATAAGGGACACTTTTTTATTCTTGTGCTTTGTAGAAGGCACTACAGAAATAGAGAGAATCTACCTACCTGCTATCAAACTCCCAGAAATTTCCAGATTTTGTAACTTTTTGGGCTTATCACACCCACCTGTGGCACGTTAATATCGTCAATCCTCATCGTCTTCTCCTCTATATCATCAACTCATATATTTTCCTGAATTTGGCAAATCATCAGAGGTTGAAACAAGAACACAAAAGTTTAATCGTACAGAAGAGAGAGTAATTACTTGATCGTTTGCTCATGGCAGCTCGGTTAACAGCAGCCCCGAAGCTGAATAACGGCCACCTGAGTGTCTTGTTGATGCTTCGGAATGGACGTCGTCCGCCGGCGGGCTTCAGATTTTCCTCCTCCGTTGGACGAACGGCCGATCCCCATGTTCACGCCGGCGATGTTGATGTAAGTTCGCATTATAGGAAATGCTTTAGTGCAAATATTTCTTATTTTTAACATTATATGTCGGCTTGACATTTTATCGAACACATGGGGTGCGCGGTGCGGGCGAAGGTAACTATATGTGTGATTTGTTTGCAGGGCGATGACGCAGCAGAGGCGAAAAAAGCAGAAACAGCAAAGGGGGAACCGGAGATCCACCCCGCCGGAACCGGTGAATGGCCGTTTTCGTCGCCCAGTTCGCCTCTCCGATCATCGCCGAAGATAGGAAGCAGGGGCGCCGGCTACCCGGTCGATCCAAACCTGCAACAGAAACGCCGCAATTCCGACTCCGCAACACCAGCGCCGCCGCCGTTATCAGAGGTGACCTGCGCGGGGCTCGACGGCGGTCCGTGGCCGGAGGAAACCACGGATCGGCGTGCTCAAGAGGAAGACGACAGGGAGTACTTCATGCACCACAAGGCGACGCCGCTGTCGGAGGTGAAGGTGGCTGACACGAGGAAGCCGGTGACACAAGCGACAGATTCGTCGGGCGGGGGAGGGAGATCGGGGGAGGTGTTGACGTGGCAGCCGGAGCAGCTGGATACCGCGGAGGGATCGCTGTTGAGAGCGATGGAGATATGGAAGTACAACGCTGTGAGGGGAGACCCGGATTCGCCTCACGGCAAGATTCTTAGGGAGCTCAGAGGGGAATATTGGTGAAAACTGAAACCAAACAATCCTTCCTTGCTTCCCTTCAATTCGTCACCTTCATATCTTCTGCTTAAAAAACCTCCTTGTAAATTTTGGTGTGCCCTTTTCTTCTCTCTTTTTTACTAACTCCCCCCTTCATTTAGACTTTTGGTGGTTGTTAAGAAAAATTAAAAAAAGGTAAAAATTTACCACAATACCTTTAATGAAAATAGGTGGAATTTATTAAATAAAGTGGGTGACGTGTAATAAATAAAGTAAGTGGGGGTAATTGTAGTATTTTAGTTGTTAAAAAATGAAATGAGAAGATCAATTGTGGACAAAGAAAAAGGGCTATTGGGAAAATCTATGAAGGACAAGGGGAATAGTTTAAATGATGTGTGAACTTCATAAAACAAAATAAATTCTAAAAATTAAATTCTAAACATGGTACTGTTAATAATATGTATTTTCTTAAATTAGTCTTAATCCCTCCGTCCTCCTGTATTTGTCCACTTTCATTTTTACACACCATCCAATGCACTTCTTTAATTCATTTTATCTTGTAATTTGTATATTAATAAATTATAAAAATTATATATTAATAATCTATATGTTAAAACAAATCAAACAAGATCACACATGACTATATTTAGGCTTACACATTGAGAGAATTTGATAAGTCAAAGTGCTTAGATGAACAATTCCAAAAGTCAAATGTGAACAAATACAGGGGGACGGAGAATTTGATAAAAACAATGTTTTATTCAGTCCCTCCGACTAACGATTGTTTAAATAATGTTAATAAGACGTTAAATTTTATATTATTTTTCTAAAATGGTACTTTCTTAACTGAGTATTTTCTCAAATTGGTCTATATTTGTAAAAAAAGAACATTAATTATAAAAAATATTTTAAATTTTATAGGATGAAAAAATAATAATTAAAACTATAAATATAATTTTATAAATTTTTAAGTAAATCTTTTTTATTATTTATAATTATTTAAAAGAATATCTTGCAAATAAAATGTATAACAATCATTAAAAAAATTATCCTAAATAGGAGTAAAACATAAAATCAGTACCAAAACGGAAACTCCTTTCTAAGCTTTACTCTTATTTAGGGTATTTTTTTAACATTTATTAAATATTTTATTTGCATGATATTCTTTTAAATAATTATGAACAATCTTAAACGTTATTTTTAAATTTATAAAACTATATTTATAGTTTTTAGTATTATATTATTATCTTATACGGAGTAAAATTTAAAATATTTTTTTATGATTAAGGTATTTTTATTTTGAAAATGGATCAATTTGTAAAAGTATTGAGTTAGAAAGTACGGAGTATGATTTTAGGAAAATAGTATAACATTTAACATTGTTTTAACACCGTTTTAACGACCGCTAGTCAGGGGACTAAACTGAGTATTATTTTCAATTACCGAGTACCATTTCAGAAATTAGTTATTTTGAGAACTAATTTGAGAAAACACATAGTTATTGAGTATTATTTTGAGAATTTAGACTAAAAAAATTGAGCCTCATCCACGAGGGTCGAGGGCTCCTTCAGACCCAACCAGACGGTCATTGAGAGGAGATAAATTGAATTTTGAACGTAGTTCAGTGACAAAGAGTGAAGCATGTAGCTAGTACATGCAAAGACATTATGCTTAGTATAACTGCCTCCTATCGCAATTATCGGGAGTCAAACTCAGGTCTTACTTCTTTGGAACTCATTGCATTTGCGAACTGTGTAACGCCAACCAATATATGTCAATTTTCATAGCGGATAGTGAAATACAAAGAGAATCTTAATGATAGTAGAATAATGAATTTTAATAAGAGTGGTTTGAAGAAATTGACTAAAAATAATATTCAAGTTCTTATTCTCTTTTTTTTTTGAAAGTATAGTTCTTATTCTCTAATACTTCATCCATTCCAAAATAAGTATTACAGTTCATTGTTTAAAAATCACGAGTTCGATGTATAAAACTTATGAGAAATTTTGTTTATTTTTACGTTTCCCGTCACCTCTTATTTTTGAAGAATTTTTAATATAATTTTTAAATATGTAAATTTTATTTCTTTTATTTCTATAACAATTTTTAAAATAAATTATATCAAAAAAATTAAAATGTAGTGTGAGAAACATTTTGAGATGGAAGGAGTGGTACCACACTAACCAAACAAAATTTATGGGAGGAGGTTAACAGTTGGATTGGTAGCCATAATCCTTGTTCTTTTCAGAAGGAATATTTATTTGATTTTCTTCATAAACAAACTAAAATATTTTCTTAGAAATTATGAGAAGTATGCTCTGTGATTGCCCGAATTGTGGCAGTGTAGATATATTGTGGCAGTGTATATATTGTGGCATTGTATTTCAGACATTGAATTTTTGACAGTGCATATATTGTGGAAGTACATATTGTGGCTAACATTATGGCAGTGTATATATTGTGACAGTGTAGATATATTGTGGCAGTGTATATATAATACAAATTTGTTTAATTAAGGGTAATATTAGGAATTCATCTCAAAAACTTATAGCACTTCTATTTTGCGTATTATAAACCTATTAAAGTGTTATATTCGTATTTCTCCCTAATGCAAAATCCAAATAAATGGATCAGTAATACAGCGTGTGGGCGTACCGCGTAGGGCTCGGCTTGTCACAACAACCAGTCCAGTCCACTTGCTGCTGCATATTGCCCATTTATGTACTTTTGCACGACTTGGTGTACCTTTACACGCTCTATTTATGGTCCAATCCTTTCACTCCGTTTTTTATAAAGGATTTTATTTTATTTGGGATTATTTAATGAGCTATCATATCCCCTGCATACCCAACATAGAAACCGAGGAATGAAAAGAACAAGTCCTCAACCACATCCTGCGTACACAAGGGTTGGTCTTTAATTGATGGACTAGCATAGCTTAGTAAATTTTGTGAAATAAATATACATTTTTTGGTGATGAACTTTGTAAAATGACACTTTATTGTCGTGAATCATCTTCATTATGCTGTGTGGCTAGCTTGAAACAACGGATTCAGATGTCCAATATGGAGGGAGAGAATTTTTCGAGAAAGAAATGGTCTCATAACGTAAATAAACTCAAGTCACAATATGATACGAGCTCGTATCATATAGGGAATTCGAAGAACTTTGAACGTTATCTTCAAGCTCCAAAAATTGAGACGAGATAAGAAGAAGGATTGAGATGGAAAGGAACTCGGCAAACCAAGAGAGGAGAAGGGAATTAGGATTTGTGATTTGTTATCGATCGATTATCTCTAGAGCGGGTTACATCTCCTTATATAGGGAAGAAGTAAACTCTAACGCTAACTTGGCGGTTCAATAAAAGTGACGTGTGAAAGGACCAAAAAGAAACCTCAAAAGACTTTATAATTTCGTTGACCAAATAAAACCTAGATTACAATAATAATTATAATATTATTGTGGCTGTATAGTATCTACTACCCCGCATTTTCTGGATCGCACAGTAGCTTAATTGTCATGGCGCCAGCTATTACCAGCCAGCAATCGTCGTCAAAGCTTAGCATAGCACGGTAACGTGGGCCGAGTAATGGTTTCTGGTTTGGATTTCGGAACTGAGATTCTCTAACTTTCTCCTCCAATCCTTTCTGACTATTAAATGCCCAGAAACGAAATTTGGGAAATTGCATTAAACCGCACCAACAATTACAGTTGAAATTCATTTATTATAACTCGTCTTTATCGACACTTTCCCCATCTCTTCCGTATTTTTTCTCCTCTTAATAATCCCCACCCTCAGATTTATTCTTCTAGAAATTAAAGAGGGAGAAAAATTGAACATAACAATCGACGATTTAGGGGAATGGAAGGGGTATCTGTTAGTGTTTACAACGGGATTAAGGAATACCTGAAGACGAAGAGGAGCGGTTACGAGAGGATTACCCGACCCGGTTCCCGGAGGAGAAACTGCCGCGTCGAATTGGGCGGCGGCCGGAAGGAAGCGCCGTGGAGGATAAAGCTGAGGCCTAAACTCAAGCTCCGGATCAACCTCCGATTCTCCCCCAAAAAGCTGCTCCTCCGCCTCCGCGACGCCTACGTCGGCCTGATGCTGCGGGTCTCCAACACGCGCGCCATCGGCGGCTTCGCCGGCAACATCGTCTCCGATTTCACCGCCAGATCGGTGAAGGAGTACGACGAGAGGATGATTATCCAGATCTACAAGTCTCTGCTGATTGCGCACGGCCAAACTCGACTGGCCTCCGCCGATGCGCCGCCGCGAATCGGCACCTCAGGTTACTTGTCGACGGTTGGGTGAATTGTTTATGGTGGAGAAAGAGGTTGACATAAATGTTACAGAGAAAAGTTTTACCGCGCAATTTCTTGTTTCGCCGGTACAGTAAAATTGGCGCTGCAATAAAAATAAATCCTTTTATTTGCAGCGGTCCGTATTTTGGTTGCTCTTCTGCCGCTTTCTTTTTTATTCGGCTATACTCTTTGAAATGAATGCCCATTATAATCAAAAATAGAAACTGTATTTCCAATTAAATTACATGTTGAAATATTGAAATAATAATATTGCTCACTTGAATTATGAAATACATGATAGAGTATATATAGGAGAGACTCCTAACAACACTAGGAATATAGAATAGAAACTAACTAACATACAACATCTACCACAAATAGGATTAGGAAGCTGACTAATAATGAAACACNCCGGTGGCTGCTGACGTCGTTGGAGAAGAGAGAATTCTGACATGCACTGTTAGCTGCTGACATCGTTGAAGAAGAGAGAAATTGACGTGCGCTGGTAGCTGCTGACGTCGAAGAAGAAGAGAGAAGGTTGACGTGCGCTTGTAGCTGCTGACGTCGTAGAAGAATAGAGAAGGCTACTGGAGGTGCCTGTTTGACTGAAGATCTTTGACATTCTTTGTCTTTTTCTTGGATCCGGGCAATGCCCTATTTCTTTCTTGAAGGGGTGTAGAGGTATTCTTTTTTCTTTCACTACTTCCCTTCTTGGCTTTGCTTTTGTGTTTTTTTTGAAATTTTATTGGTTAACAAAGGATAAAGAGAAGAAACACTGATGATTAGAATGAGTGATTTGAAAGAGAAAAAAGGGGATTAAGAATTGGTGATGAAGAAATGATTTAGGTCTAAGAATCTTCGATAGTAAATTGTAGAGAAACAACTATCTATTTTTCCATGATTTTGAGAAGATACAAGGATGAGTTGAGAGTGTTTGTGTGGAGTTGGTTTTTTTTTTTGAAGAATTATGGAGATAACAAGAGAGAAGTTTCGCCTTTGATGGTTTTTTTTGTGTGTGATTTCAATTGAGGTTTTTTTCTTTTTTTTTTCATTTGAATGGAGAATTTTATTTGAGGATAAAAGAAGGAAAAGAAAATAGAGGTGAATAGAGTGGAGCCGCCGTCGTCGGAATTACCGGCAGCGGCGGCGGAAGCAATTAACTCTTTTAGGTCACCAAGAGCGATGACTCCGATACCATGTTGAAATATTGAAATAATAATATTGCTCTCTTGAATTATGAAGTACATGATAGAGTATATTCCAACATGGTATCAGAGCCACCGCTCTTGGTGACCTAAAAAAAAAGTTCTTTGCTCCCACCGCCGCCGCCGGTAATTCCGGCGACGGCGGTTCCACCCTATTCACCTCTATTTTCTTTTCCTTCTTTATCCTCAAATCAACTTCTTCATTCAAATGAAAAAGAAGAAAAAAAACTCTGTTAAAATCACACAAAAAAACTATCAAAGGAGGAACTTCTCTCTTGTCATCTTCATGGTTCTTCAAAAAAAAAAACCAACTCCACACAAATTCAGCTTGAGGGGGGATGTTAGACAATAATAATAGTATTACTTGTGGTAGTATTGGTTGTGGTAGTGTTTCATTATTAGTCAGCTTCCTAATCCTATTTGTGGTAGATGTTGTATGTTAGTTAGTTTCTATTCTATATTCCTAGTTGTGTTAGGAGTCTCTTCTATATATACTCTATCATGTACTTCATAATTCAAGAGAGCAATATTATTATTCTAATATTTCAACATTACAACTCCGTTTTTTTCTTTGAAATAGTATTACCAAAGTTGCGTAAATCTTCGGTGAATCCAAAGTTACTATTTATTTTATGGATCTTAATATATTTGTAGGATAAAAGTAATGAATCGTTTGTAAAAAAATTATTGCAAGCTTGTGAAAAATATGAGTAGGCTTCACTCTGCTAGATGTGTCCTAACTCCTATATGTAAGAGCACGGGAAATATCCGTGAAGCCGAGAGCTTCAAACCAAGGCTTTAAAGTTTCTCTCTGCTATGTCAGCTTTAACTTACTTGACGAATTCAGTAAGAATGAGTTTGAAGCTCCGGGGTTTACTTTTTTTTCTCTTGTCTACATCATTTTCAACTTTGTAATTCTATTGTTTTTAAACTTCCTCTAAAGTCAAATTACAAGTGTGTGTAAAGAAATATATTATTCCCTCCGTCTCCAATTTGATTAAAAGTTGGAATTTACAAGGAGAAATATCTCAATTTTTGAAATTATTTTATTTACAAATTGATATATCGATAAGAAATAAAAAATACATATTACTTCGTAAAAAACTACGTCAAAAGTTCTACAAAACAAGAGATCACAACAACAACAACCCAGTTGAATCCCACTACAGTAGGGTCTGGGGAGGGTGTGTGTACGCAGACCTTGCCCCTACTCGGAAGTAGGGAAGCTGTTTCCAAACAAGAAATTACAAGAATATTTTATTAAAATATTTGCACTAATAGCACTAAAATTTAAGTTATTTCTCTAAATAGCACTTAAACTGTTTTATTTTCTAAATAGCACTTAATAATGTCCATAATATACAGTGATGACGAATATTTACTTGAATAATGACTAATGCATAATGACTAAAAATGCTTCATTGGGAAGAAATACACATGTAGTGCTATTTAGAGAAAGTCATTATGTTTTAGTGTTATTTAAGTAAATTCCCCTATTTTATTTTATCAAATAGATAATAAAACCGCGTAAATAAATAAAAGTTATGGAGAGGGAAAAAAAAATTTGAATGAAAACTTTAGATTGTTTAGTACAATTTCAATTCTTAGCCAAAGCCAATAGCACAACCGAGATCACATTTCAATGGCTTCTTATCTTTCCAGATCCTCCACCACATTCCTAAACATCTCCTCCTCCCTTCCTTCTGCTCCGCCAAGAAGGCTCCCAATCAAAACCCAAATCCCACTCTTCACAAAACCCAGAAATCCAATCTCCACCACTACCCGTACCCCGATCAGATCCATCCACGTCTCAAAGGAAGAACAAACAACCCCCGTCAATCCTCCCCAAGAAACCCAGCCCGGGGAGGGATTGGACGGCCGGAGAAGGCCGGAGGAAAAGTTCGCCGTCTTAAACACCGGAGTCCACCGGTGCCGGTCTTGCGGGTACACCTACAACCAGGCCAAGGGCGACCCGGCATACCCGATCCCGCCCGGGTTGCCCTTCGCCCAGCTGCCCGGCGACTGGAGGTGCCCCACTTGTGGGGCTTCGCAGACCTTCTTCGAGAGCAAGAGCGTGGAGGTTGCCGGGTTCGCCCAGAACCAGGATTTCGGGTTCGGGGCTAATACCCTCACATCTGGGCAGAAGCTATTGCTCATTTACGGCGCTCTGCTCTTAGGGTTTGTGCTCTTCTTGTCCGGTTATTTTCTGCAATGACATTGATGATCATGTCTGTGTGTGTGTATATTGTTCGTTGATTCATTAATTCGAATTCGTGATTTTGATGTTTGTTTGTTCATTATAATTGGTTGATCTTGTGCCTAGTATACAGTTTTGCATTTCTGCTCATGTTTATTGAATTAGATAGGAAACTATGGAGGTCTAGAATTGGAGTCATTGTCAAATCTTTAGACCTTTGTTTTGAGCTTAGAGTTTGCCAAGGCTTTTCTCTCCAACTTATTGATGGGTTTTTATCTAATTTGATTAAGTAATACTCACTTCGTCCCCCAGTTTTTGTCCACTTTCATTTTTGCACATCATTCAATGCACTTCTTTAATCCATTTTATCTTGTGATTTGTATATTAAAAAATTACAGAAATTATATATTAATAATCTATATGTTAAGACAAATAGGCTTACACATTGAGAGAATTTGATGAGTTAAAGTGCTTAGATGAACAGTTCCAAAAGTCAAAACTGGACGAATACTCTGGGACGGAGGGAGTATGTAAAAAGATTAAGTTAAGAGAACAAGCTCAAGTTTAGCTTGTGCTTGTTGTTAAAAAAGGTGGAACGCCCACTCCTGATGCCCTCACACCCTGACCCAACAGGATTGTGAGGACAGTAAATCATGGTATAATCTCACCTTAGAAAGGACGCTCCGTGCACGGGGCGCACAGGGAGCTATTACAAATAATAGAATTCACACACTGCGAGGCCAGAATTCGACCCTAAGATCATCGGACTTGACATCCTCTTCATGGATCAGTTGAACTACCCATGTGGGTTACTTGTGCTTGTTGTTAAAGATCATGTTGTGAATGATTTCTGCATTCTAGTTATAGTTAATATAACTAAAGTGTAAGTTTATCCTACAAGTTGATCTTCAATTGAGAATATATTGTGCAAGTCTCTATTGTTCATTACTAATCATTTGAATGTACTCATTCATCATCAACATTGCATCTCTAACACCATAACTCCATGGGATTTCTAACATAATGAAGAGCTTCTCCATCTTGTATTTCAAGATCAAGAAGAAGGAGAATGAAGATGAGAAAAAGAGATCTCCATCTTGTATTTCAAGACTTCTAGCTCTCCAATATCCTTTTTATTTATTTATTTTTATTTTTTATCCTTTTTAATTATGTCCACATGGAATTTGAGCATGACTTGAATATTAATAGCAGATCAAAACTTGGCTTAAAAGAAAAGGTAAAAACCTCTTTGATGGATGTATTGGGCTTAGAGTTTTGGGCCTGTATTTCATTGTCTTAAATATGGGCTACTATTGAGACCCATATAATTGTAATATCATGAATTGCTTTTATCATTTACTCATACTTTCAAAAACTCCATTTTAATATTTAAAAACCATAAAAGAAAAAGTCACATTTGTATTTCTTGAATTTAAAAAGAAAAGAAAAGAAAGACTTTTTGGGGTACTCAAAACTTGTGTTTACCATACAACAAACACCTGAAGAAATTAATGCCACTAATATATGTGTTTGTCTGCTTGAAAATGGGGACAATCTTGCGAACCCAAACATGTTTTATTATAAACAAATGCATTATGATTTGGGAAATTTAACTTTGTCACCGAGGTTGTTTCCAAATTTACCAGACCACAAAAACACAAGTTCTTGACAAATTTTACCAACATGTTCGGGAAATGCAAAAAAACCATGCGAAAATATGGTATGTTCTTTTTGTTGTTTTCTCTATGTTCTTATCATTATTTGTATGTATTTTTCAAATACTCTTTTCAATCCTGATTTAGGTTCTCATTTTTGTTCAATGTTCCAAAATTAATTTCTCATTTTGTTTTAAAGGAAAAATACGTGATTTTGAGTGTTATTTGTGTCCTCTACTAAATACGGAGTATTATTGATCACAACATTTTTTATTAGTCAGAAAGACAAATGAAAATCAATGTTAGGATTAGAGAGTCTAACAAAGTAAAGACTTTTTTGGACCAACTCCTCCCTCTCTTTTTTCTTTATTGTTTTTTTTTTCTTTTTTCATAAATGTTTTTAGTTGAGGATACGCGGGTAAAAGATGGGTTGGAGTTAGGACTGGGTAGAAAGGTGGGTTTTGTGGTCATGAATTAAGTGGCGGGGTGGGGGGGGGGATACTAGAGGTTAGAGGATCGGGGGTAGTGACTATCAAAGTTATGTTACGTACAGAGCACTGTAGGTGTCTCAATTAAGTCGGTATCTTAAATACGAGTGGCTGTAGAATTGGGCCGAATAAACTTATGATTCTAGTGCATGAAAAAAAGGAAACGGAAAAAATGATGAGCTTCATCCCCTAGGGTCTTCCTTAACCCGACTGGACGACCATTGACTCATTGAGAGGGTATAATTAGACTTTAACCGTAAATTGCTAACAAAAATTAAAGCATGCATCTACTTATACTTAGCATAATTATCTTGCAATACATTTAACAAAAATCAAACTTCAATCTTAGTTTTCTTTGACAATTTTTTATCTTTGTTAATTGCGCAATGCCACCTCAATTCTAGGATGGATGTAGGCATCATAAATGAAACACTTTGTGAAAAGCGCAAGTGGACGGGAGAAGTAGGTGAAATGACATTTAGGGTGGGGGTGTGTTTGCATTCAAAAAAAACAAATGATAGAGTGGTAGCTAAAAGTGATGGGTAACAGCAGTGTCGGTGGTGGTGGACTGCCATTTTTATATTCCTCTCCTCTCCTCTCCTCTTTTAGAGCTCCGTATTATTTTATTGGGCACAAATAGCGGCTTATGCGACCCGTGGGTTAAATTGCTTGTGACAGGAGGCCACCGCTTCTTCTGCCACCTCTTTTTTTCCACCATTACCCTCTAATTTAAGTGGTTCAGAACTGAGCCCTTTAAGTAAATTTGGGTTTGGGTTTGATTCTTGACCCACACAGTGATATTAAAAAAAAGAATAATTGATTATATCCTACATGAGATGGTTGCAGATTGTGACACCTTTCTACTATGTTTGATTCAAGGATTTTGGAAGGAAAAGAAAAAATAGTTTTCCTTCATTTTCCTCCCCGAAATGGAAGGAATTTGATTTTCCCTCCACTTGCTACATTTTGCCTCATCATTTTCTTTTCCTTCCAGTTTTTCCTTTCTTTTCCCCTCTAACCAAACAAGAAAAATGATTTTCAGCTTCATTTTCTTTTCTTTTCCCTTTCAAATTCTTTGAACCAAACATAGTGTTCAGGTTGTTGTGCTTAAATTTTCTTTTTGTAAAATTAAATTAGAAACTTTAGTTTGAAAAAACAAAAGCAGCTACAAATCTACTCTCACATACGATCGTCTTTGTGAATACAGATGATTATCTTTTGTATGCTTATAAAATCGCATGTCATCAAAAACTGTGGGGCAACCGTGATGCCGTGGTTGGTTTCTAGTATGATCTTTGAAGAAATACACTACTATGCCTTAAACATTTTTTGATACTCCCTCGTTCCATTTTAAGTTGTTTGATGATACTTTCGGATTATAGTATGATCTTTGAAGAAATACATTACTATGCCTAAAACATTTTTTGATACTCCCTCGTTTCATTTTAAGTTGTTTGCAGACACTTCCGGACATAGTGGAGGTTAGAATGTTAAAAGTTACAACACTTTTCCTAACACCAACTGATATTAGAAGAAGTGGTAGCATTTGAGATCCTATAAAGTCCCGTTCACTACACTGGACTTCATAATTATGTCGTTGTATTGATTTTCAGGAGCTATCTTCAAGTTGTTCACACAAAATATATATTGGTAGTTATGTTTTCTTTGGCCTTTTTTTGCGTTTTTCTTTTGGAATTTATTATGGAGTACTATTAAAGAATGTATATTTAACTTTTTAAAAAGATGAATAAGAGATTTATTTTTTCAATTTACACCCTTTGTTTGGAGTTGCTCTTACAAACTCCAAATTTGAATTTGAGTAGGTGAAAATTCCAGCTAGTGTGTGATTATAGTTTACTTTTTGTCCTCTATTGTCACTAATTGATGGTTCCAAGGAGTACTTGAGGATGAGACTCATAAATTTTTCAATAAGTGAAAATTATACTTTTTATTTATAGGCCCTCTTTGGAAGTTGACAGTTGACTGTTAGCTATTTATTTAAATGGTTTGAATGGTTGATAAAGTTAGATGCTTTTAAATATATGTTGTAGATGTAATTATATTTAAAAATCTAATTTTATGTATATGATTTGTATAATATAATATAATTTATATAACATAAATTCAAATTTAATAAATTATATAAATTATAAAGTGCTCTGCAATATAATGTAGTACAATTTGTATACATTATATATATATATATATATATATATATATATATATATATATATATATATATATATATTCATAGCCAAATAAAATTCTAGGTTACTATTTTAGAGTTAATACTTTTTGTTTGCTTAATTTTGCTATAAAAAACCTCAAGTCTTTGCCTCCCATTTTGATGTATTAGACTATTTAAGAAACTATATTTCTTATAAAATTTATTTAATATGTAAGTTTTCTATTTTGTACCAATTTTAGAACAAAATAAATTTTATAAAAACATTTTACCTCGTAAAGTCTCAGCGAATTTCATTTGGGAAATGAGAAAATAGTTATTATTTACTCATTTATTTGTTTTTAATTTACTTTACAATGACTTATTTATTTTTTTAGTGTTTATGCAATAAATAATTATACTTCAAAAGTTAATAGCCAACTTGAAAGGTTACTTCTTTTAATTTTTTGTGTTTTGGCTTTTCAGAATCTAATAACAAACATCAAAGTTATTTGTCAAACATTCTATATGGTGGTTTGGCTTGTCAATATGCCAATATACAAACATGCTCATAAGTCATAACCAATTTTTGTGAATATAAAACTTTTTAAAGAAGAAGAAATTTTAAACATTATGCCTCAGACTAATATTTTTTGGAAAAAAGAAGTGTCGCAATAAAGTTTATGTGATTATGTCTATGATATTTCAGATAATTTATCACAATTTTTTAGTCAATATAAAAAGAATAATTATTTCTAGACAAAAAAATGAATAACAAAAAATTTAGATGGAGGTGATTTGTAAGCGGTGAAGTGACAGGAATGATAAAAAATTAAGTACTCCGTATAAGCAAAATCTTAATTGTGGTATTTGTGTAGCATATGCTATTATTAGTAAGGAATTAAGCTTGGAAATTTAAATTGTGAAATTTGGAAAAACATTAAATACGAAGATCAAATCCTAAAACTTCCTTTCTCTAACTTTCCCCTCTCTCCCTCTCTCCCAATTCTCTAATCCCCCGGCCGGTCTTTCCCTCTCTATACCTCCTCCCTCTTCTTCTCCACCAGATAATTAAAAAAAAAGAGGGAAGAAGGGAATTCCGGCTCGGTGGCGCCGCCAGTGCACCGCCGCTGTTCAAAGCCTGGTTAGTTGAATTTGAGAATCAAAAATTCAAAAAAAAAAACATATAGTCTCTCGCCAGAAATAAAATTTCTGATTCCATCGAAATTCGCGTCAATTTCGTACATCGCAGCGCACAGCGCTCAGCCCCACCCATCTCTGTCACACTGTGGCGGACGACTGACGAACCCTAGCGGTCCTAATTTCTCCCGGGGCGTTGTTTGGCTGTTTCGATTTCAAATCGACAAGGAAGAAGAGGAGGAGGAGGAGAGGGGTTTTCTCCGCGAGGAAGATGCTTTGGGTGATGAAATTCTCGTGGTTCTTCTCCGCTGCAATGGCGATGATTGTTCTCTCCCCGTCGCTGCAGTCCTTCCCCCCCGCCGAGGCCATTAGATCATCCTCCCTCGACTCCTACCTTCGATTTCAAGGTCAGATTTCTCCCGGCGCAACTCTCGACCGGTTCTCCTTCCGGAAAGCGCCGCTGTTTCGTAATTCCGGCGGATGCAACTCCACCGCGGTGGAAACCTACGTCTGCGATCCATCTCTCGTTCACGTCGCGATTACTCTGGACACGGAGTATCTCCGGGGTTCAATTGCGGCCGTGCATTCGGTTCTACAGCATTCCAGATGCCCGGAGAGCGTTTTCTTCCACTTCCTGGTCTCAGAGACGAATCTGGAGGGCCTGGTGAGATCCACCTTCCCTCAATTGAAGTTCAAGGTGTATTACTTCGATCCAGAGAGAGTCCGGAGTCTCATCTCGACTTCCGTCCGGCAGGCGCTGGAGGTTCCCCTGAACTACGCCCGGAATTACCTGGCGGACATGCTCGAGCCGTGCGTGCGCAGAGTCATCTACTTGGATTCTGATCTCGTCGTGGTCGACGATATCTCCAAGCTATGGACTACGAATTTGGGGCCGAACACCATCGGAGCTCCGGAGTACTGCCACGCCAACTTCACCAAGTACTTCACCTCCAATTTCTGGTCTGACCGGAGGTTGTACTCCACATTCGCCGGCCGGAATCCGTGCTACTTCAACACGGGGGTTATGGTCATCGATCTGGAGAAATGGAGGCGGGTGGGGTACACAAGGCATATAGAGAGGTGGATGGAGATTCAGAAGACGAGGAGGATCTACGAATTGGGCTCCCTTCCGCCGTTCCTGTTGGTGTTTGCCGGAGATGTGGCCCCCATTGAGCACAGGTGGAACCAGCACGGTTTGGGTGGGGACAATGTGAGGGGAAGCTGCCGCAACCTCCACCCAGGTCCGGTGAGTCTCCTACACTGGAGCGGCAGCGGCAAGCCCTGGTTGAGGCTGGATTCCCGGAAGCCATGTCCGCTAGACTCTCTATGGGCACCTTACGACCTCTATGGACATTCTACCTGAACCATTCGCGGTCGTCCCTCCCCTTTGTCTCGCCGGTAAATTCATACTCTCTCTAGTTTTGCCCTTTCGGATTTCACCCCGTCGATGCTCTCATTCCTCCTCCATTAATTTTTTTATCATCAGAGCTTTCTTTTAGTTCAAAAAATTTCAAATTTGTTCTCCCCTCTCCCCCTTTTTCTTGAATTTTTTGTTTGTATGGTCTTCGGATTAACATATAGCATCATTACATGTTGTGATCCCATCAGAGGAGATTTGTATTCTATTTGCCACTCTGCTCTCTGAAATAAAAAATGTGAAATTCATTTCTTTGGGTTCTTTCTTTGTATTAGTGTCTGCATTTTATGGTTCTCCACATAGATTAGCATAATAACTGCTTAACACTAGTTAAATGTGATTATGGAATGCATAATACAGAGGCTCTAATGGGTGAACCTGAAAATGCATAACTTTCTCCCTATAAACTTATAACTTAAGTTTTGTCTCTTAACTATTAAGGCATAATTGTGACCTTAAGGTCACAATTACTATCAAAATGAAGGTCAGGGTTAATGGGGATTATGGGAATGTGGGCATGGCCAAGGCAGGGTAGTGTCCTCCATAGATTGGGTTGATGTTTAAGAATGTAATTATTGTAATCCCTACTATTTTTGGTAAATTAAAGATTTCATTTGAGCATTAGTGGGAATGTCATGATGTTGTCATATCATCATGTCCTTTGTACTCCTCATCAGTTTAAGGTATTGTAGATGATACATATGATGATGATGATGGGAGAAACGTATGAATACTTTGCCTTGCCTCCAATGTATGAATACTTTGCTTTTGAGGTACCTCTCTCAGAATGCTTTGCCACTAGCCGGCGGATGTCTTGTGAACTACCCACCCACCTACCTACTTTCACTTCCACCCCTTTTGTACAGCTATTTGTACACCAATGATTGTATCCCAAGTTTTACACTTTGATGGTTAGTGTTAGTGCAATTTTTTTGGTCTCACTGACATTTTGTGTCATTGTGAACCATCAAAGTGTCAGAACACACCCTAGGAGTACAGCTGCGGGTAGACTCCCACTCTTACTTCCATTTCTCCTCACCTTTTTGGGACTTGTGAGTCTTGTGACTTGTCACTTGTATTTGAAATCAAACAAAAATGTCATCGCTGTCACTGTGGATTTGTTTGTTTAAATAGACTGATTAGTACGGAGTATTGATTACTAGAAGTCTAGAATACTTTAAAGTCACTCAGGTTTGTGTCCATTGCTAATCAAGACGCATACATATAATTAACAACATCATTAGACTAATGTTATGTTTTAGGGTCACCTCGATTGCGACTCAAACTTGCTCTCACCCTTCATATTCACAATGATATTTTGTTCATTGCATGTGGTTTTTTTCCTCTGTTTTTTGGTGTGAAAAAATGGGGACAAATTTGGGGTGATCCCAGCTTTCTTCCAATGGTATACAGTTCATTGAGTGGTGGGGACTAGGGAGCAATGTGTTTGACAAAACTTGGAATAAAGTGAAGATAATGTTACTTTTTGTTTTAATGCCTTGTAATATTGGGTAATTTTTTTTCTTTAAAGTAAAAAACTACTTTGAAATAATGGCATCTGTTTCATAGGAATAATTCACGTGCCCCCCAAGGAGTGGTATTAAAGTTTTGAATAGTAAGTCCAAAAACGAAAATCAAGAAAGGAAAAAAAAGTACACAAGACTTTGCCAAACAGCACCTGAATCGCACGGAAGAATAATACTCTTGCAACAAATAGTCCCTCCCTCTAATAATAAAAATTTGAGTAAATTCTATAATTGGTCCTTTATAACAGGGGGTTTCCCCATTTAGTCCTCTATTATCAAATATTACCCAAGTGATCTTTCTTTTATGGGTACCTTTCCACAAATAGTTTTTTTTTTTGATCTTCTATCATGTTGGTGTTAATTTGAGGGCTAAAAGTGTAATTTCACAATAATAATATATCTTTTTTTATACACAATTCCAAAGGCTATTCCGTTTACGTTGTTTGTGAATTACAGTCGCTTTTTACGACAACTATAGTCTACAAATGTGATCCTTCGTCAGAATCCTAGCCCACAATCATAGTCATTATTTTTGTGTTATCCGCTTAACCAATATCAGAACACGTCATTAGATATAATGTTGACGTCAAATTATATTTTTAGCCTTTAAATTAACACCAACACGGCAGAAGATTAAAAAAAGGACCATTTGTGGAAAGGTACCCTTAAGAAAAGGACTACGAGGATAATATTTGATAATAGAGGACTAAATATGGAAATCCCCCTGTTATAAAGGACCAATTATGGAATTTACTCTAAAAATTTCATTCACTATTCACAAGTTTAAATTTTATTTATTTTGTTGGTTTATTTTCATGTCTTACTTGCTAAAATAATATAGTTATGTTACTTTTAGTTTTGTAAATTTTTCATGTACTTTTTAAATATGTAATTTTAATTTTTCAGCTTCATACAATTTTTTATGAAAAATGATTTGAAAAAAATTTCAATCCACATCTAACGTGCAACGAGAACATTATCTATGGACGACTTCTTTTTTTTAAGGCAACAAAAAAAGAGTGCAAAATGAGGCACAACCTGTCTGGTGCAGAGTGGGGTTTGATTAAAGATTTGTCCAAAGCATCGAAGGGGGGCCATGGACAACTTTGGTTATGATTTTTTAAGATTATAAAAATGATTTTTTTTAAATAAAGAGTAAAGTAAAGAATATGAATATTCTTTGGTGTTAGCTGTAAGGTATGTGTTATTATACTCCGTAGTTTATAGATTGATTGTTTGGCATTGTGGCCTTTGTTGGATTTGAGTGGATTCCATACCTGGGCTTCAAGCTTTGTCTTTACAAATTAATTCTAAAAAATGAGATAGTCCCCTTGTCTCAATTTCAATTACAATTTTTTTCTCTTTTCTCGATAAGTTTTGTTTATTTGTATGTTATCATTGATTATTTGATAAAATAAAATATTTTTGTCACCTCTTGTTTTTGTAGAACTTTTGACTAAATTTTTTAATATATATTTTTTTATTTTTTATCAATATATCAATTTGTAAATAAATTGATTTCAAAAGATGAAAAATTTGGTCTCGTAAATCATAATTTGTAATGAAATTTGAGTCGATGGAAATATTTTTTTACTCGTACATAATTTGTGAAAACTAAGAAGGACTATTGAAAGAGCTGGAAAAAATTGAAATAAATTGAAAGAGTGTGTTCCGAGATTCGTATTAAATATATTACTCCCTTAATCTGAGAATGTTTTTTTCCGTGTTGACTTGATACACTTGTTTATGAGTAGGAAAAAGAGTATCAAGCTTCCAAGAATTTATATACTTTAAACTTTTAGAGCTCCTTTTGTTATTCAAAAAACAATAAAAAGTAGATAGGGGTAAAATGAAAGGATTTAGATATTTATATTTAAAAAGTATACTAAAAAAGAAATGAGAAAAATATTTTCGGATGAATAAAAAATGATAGTGAGAAGAATATTTTGAGACGGAGATATGATGACAATGCTAGTCTCCTTAAAAAAATCCAACAATGACAAAGTTTTTGATAAATGGAAAAATTGTTCTTTGAGGCACAACTCAAGTTACTCAATTGGTAAGGGTATTAGGTGAAACCTTGCTGACGATATATATAGGGTGGGAGTTCGATTCCTGCATGCAACTTTGAAAAATCAATATTAGCATTGATTTAAAAATATAAGAAATTCGCACAAAACAAAATAGGGTATAGTACATGTTTTCACACGTATATTTTTTTTATGATTTTAAGATCGGCCATATTGCTGACAAAAAAATCATCTCATGTGTAATCCACAGGAAAATATATCCGAAATAGTGATTGGGATATCATAGTCATTCGCCAACAGTCAACTTCGCCCAATCAACCCTCGCTTAGGAGAATTTATCTTCACTTTATCTTATTGAAATAATTTATGATCTAACTGTTGTGATATTTAAAATTGTTTCTGAAGCAGCCTGACTAAGAATAAATAAACCTATTGGCATATAATCCGTAATAGACGAGGTTACTATTTTGGGGCATGTATAATCCTCCCAGCCCACTTACACAATTTGGGCTTTTTGGGCTGTCCATTAATTATTTCTCGCACCCAATATGACAACCAATAATACTCCATGTCTGGTACAATAACTGAACCCTCATCCACTTTAAGAGCAAAACAAAAAGATCCGATAACCGAAATGTAACGACCCAATTAAACTGGGCCGTTTAATCTGGACCGTATATAAGTTTGGGCTATAAAAGGGACAGTATAAGAATATTCCAGTGACGCGTCCGGTAATCAGATCCGTGTCCGTGTGGCGGCCCATAAAGTCTTAAAGGTGTTCTTTTTTCTTTTTACTTTTTTTTCTTTTCTTTTTCTTCTTGTTCCAGTTCCGGTTTATAGACGCGAAGAACGCGGGGATGGGAGTTTGACCCGATACTCCCAAGGTCCATTAGACCTCACCCACACTAATCATCCTCATCGTCTTCTTCCCAGAAGAGCTCCAAAATCTGAGAAGAGGCGGCTGCTCCTTATATATATAAATCCAATTTCTCCTCGCCGGAGGGATACCGACGATGGCTGATCGGAAAGATGACGTCGACTATCTGTTTGCTCATCTGAAGCGAGCGATTCGCCAGCCGTCATCTGGTAAGGTTTCTTCAGTACATCTGGACTGTCATTTCGTGTTGTGTGTGTGTGTGTAGTGATTGCTGAAATTAACCGGCGGCGGGTGTTGATTAGCTGGTAGTTACATTGACGTCGAGGAGACGGAGGAGGAGGAGGAAGAATACGACGATTATGACGACGGCTATGATAACAGGACGGATGCGGAGGACGATGGGAAGGCGGAATTGGCATGCCCATTTTGCTCGGATGACTTTGACGTTTTAGGGCTGTGCTGTCATATTGACAGCGAGCATCGTCTGGAGACCAAATCTGGGGTAAAAAATGTTTCTTTTGAGCTTTCACCTCCTCCCGTTTCTTGCATTTTCGATTTGTTTTTCAATAATTTTCTCTTTGCCATTTAGAAGTATATCAGCATTTGTCTAATCTTCATAAAGTTGGGAACTTTAAGTACAGAATTAAGATGGAATCTGTTTAAAGAATGACAACTTGTACAGCTTTGTGCAAATTAAGGGTTTCCTTAATTCCTTTTTAAGGGGTAGCAAATTATAGCATAAACACCAGGTTGATTAGAGCCTTACGTTTCAGAAGCTAATCTTGAGAAGTGAGCTTGTATAGATGTTTGGTTCTGGATGGTAGCATGAAGTTTGTTTAGCCATGATTTCAAGCTCCATATTGCTTTCGTATGTTGCTCCGTTATTTTGTTCCCAAGTTTATCTGTGGTCATAAAAGCCCGAAGAAGCTGAAAATATGCTTGCTAATATCGTTTGGTTTGGTAAGATACATGATTGGGTTCTTAGAATGAAAAATATCAATTTGACAGGGCACTGCTTTGTTCTTTCATGAACAAATTTCTCTTTTGACATTGCGTTTGAGTGCAAAAGAAATGAATTATTTAATACTTTGTACTTAGTGTTCTCTAATATTCAGCATTTTAGTTGTTATTGAATGGATGATTTAATTTTGCTTTCAGATATGTCCTCTCTGTGCCTCTAGTGTGCGGATGAACATGGCTGCACATGTGATTTCACAACATGAGAGTCTCTTGAAGATATCCTTCAGTTTCATCAATTTTAAACTTTATCTTATGAGTGGATCAGTGAACTGTTTTGCGTAGTACACACAGGTGATGTCCTAATGGTGGTGTGCCTAATTTTGTTCCAAAAAAAAAAGAATCTTATTTGAACAAAAAAAGTTAATTTTCATTCTATTTTACATTAGTAAAAAAGAATATTTAAAAAAAAAAAACTTATGATTGGACTTATTTTTTTCATAGAGCCATCATGATATCTTGCATGACACACTTTATATGCACAATTTGGAGAGAAATAAGAGTGAGAATGGAGGAGGATTCTAAACTCTAAAGATGTTTTTCTTCTCATTGAAATTTTTAAGAACTAGTCGCGTTTGTATTCTTATCAAGCAACCATTTAAGAACTTCCTACCACTTCTCTTTTTCTCTGCAAGTACTATTGCTCTCTCCGTCGCAACAAAGATTCCTTTTTAAAAACTTATTTTTATAAAAAAATGTTTTATTTGAACAAAAGAAGCTAATTGTCTTCATATTTAATGCTTTTTATTTTAAAAAAAGTGAACCAAACAAATTTTGTTAAAGTAACTACGGAGTATATTGATTATTTCCAATTGTTTTACCTTATTACAATTAAAATGATGTATCTTTGTGTAACATGGCTCTTTTTATGGGATAGAGCCATGAAGTATTATTTTCTCAGTAAAAATGTCTTGCAAATGCATCTTCCTTCAATTTAGGGAACAAACATGAATACGTTCGGGACTTGAGGGAAATAGTTGAGTAAAATGGGTAGTTCAGAATGGGTCCAAATATAGTTTTCTCTGTAAGTACATTATATGAGGCCTGTATGTTTATTTTTAGCATACCAATGTCTTGTTTTGTTTTGAAACACGCGGGTACTTTGGTGGACTTGACAAGTTTCTACGCTCTTGCTAAAAAGAAGCTTCAGAACAACAGAATGCATTCAGGCTTATCCTCTTTGAGGAAAGAGTTGCAGAACTTGAATTTGCATCTTCATGTCAAGGAATCTAGTAGAGCTGATTCATCCTCAAGTGCTGCTGGTGATAGTTTGATGCTATCATTTGTCAACAATCAACAACCTTCTCCCAAAGTTGAAAGCACACAAGATAAAAAGCCAGATCAAACAAGTTCTCTTGGGAGAAGTGAGGGAAGCAATGTCTGCGAAAGGTAACAAAACTGCCTTTCTTTCATAGCCACATCTTGTTATCAACTATCACACACATCTTGTCAAGTTCAATTGTTAGATACTGATTTTCCCTTGTGAATGAGTTAGAAGTTAGTGTGTCGTGGTATAACAACAACAAACCCAGTAAAATCCCACAAACATTAAACCCCTGCATGAAGTAGAGAGGTTGTTTCCAACACACCCAAAGAAATCACTGAAGCACTAACGAAATACGAACAAGGAGAAATAATGCATCCAAAGTCCAAACCGACTCTAAGACTTAGGCAAAAAACACCAAGGCAAAAAATACAACATCCCTAACTACTCTAACCCTAGATTTCTAGGCATTTCTATCCAAGTCCATATCATCTGTAAGATCCTGAAGTCGTAGGACATCTCTAAGTACCTCTACCCTCGCCATGCCTTCTACCACAACCCCACAAGAATCCTATGCAATCTACAAAAAATTTTTGACATGGAACAATGGATAGTAGATGGGTGTTTGTGCTTATTATGTAATACTCCCTCCTTTCTAATTGGTTGTGCCCACATTAACTGGGCATAGAGATTAAAAGATTTCAAACTTAAAATTGTGTGGTTGAGATTTATGTGAAGGAAAGAGGAACTATATGAACTACATAATGCTTTCTATGAATGAAAACAGGCACAAAAAATTGAGAAGGACCAAAAAGGAAAACAAACAATGAATTAGGACAGAGAGAGTACCAAGAAGTTATATTTTCATGAAAACATTTACAACATATCAGTTGATGGGTGCTGCCTGTCGGCAAACTCTCTGTGTGCCACTGATTTATCTTTGTTGGGCTCTGTTTGATTCAATGCAGAGGTGGCACAGAAGCTTCTTCTAGAATGGACAAACACCAAGAAGAAAAACTCCAAAGATGCAAATTTGTTCATGACATATTGTTCTCTACTATTCTGGATGATTTTTTATGAGAGAACGGTGACACACTGTCATCCATGAAGCTGTCAGTCATTTCTTCACATATGCTAAGCTGGGATGATGATGATGATTATGATGGTGATGGTGATGGTGATGGTTATGATGATGATGATTTAAGCAAGAAGCAAACATGGCGGGTGCGAACGCATTGGAATCTGACCAAGTGTGTATAGAAGAAGTCACACACGTCCTGCGCTTCTGCAGCTCTGCTCTGTTTTTTTCACTCTTTAGAATCTGAATGAAGATGTAATGTAATTCGCTACTGAGTAAGAAGTACTCTCTGTTATAGGTCATAATTTGGACTATAAACCAAAGACTTTTATTGTTGGTAGATGAATATTTGTATTTTTTTAGAAATTAAAATAATAATTGAATGTCCCCAAGATCTTGCTACTTCATTTATTTATTGCAGGGTTAATTTGCTTTGAGTTTGGTACATATTCTGTAACAGGTTTGTATGGTCTCAGATCCTTAAGACCTAGCATGAAAATTACACAACCTGTAAATCCAGTCCGGGCATAAAAGGTTTTGATTGTTTGTTCAACAAGGAATAGATTCACATAATAGTGTACCCAAGACTTTGTGTTTATTAGTGGGACTATTCCATCTCAATGTAAACAAGATTCTAACCTCTGCAACGCACGGCGAAAATATTATCTGATCGAACGTAATAAACATATAAATAATCCATAATTGGAGATAAGATGACAAGTCACTAAAATTCAATTTTATATAAATGGTTGGTATAATGTACTATATATTTCACCAAACAATATTGCATGATATTCAAAAATAAAATCTTAAATTTAAGAAGACTTCTTTATACACAACATTTCTAGTGTGATTCATAGGATTGCCTTCTTTATTGTAAGTCAAGATCTTCAATCTTTGTCGGTTTGTCCCACGTGAAATAGTGATGTATAGTCGTAAAATAGATCACGGCTTAAGATTGGTTTTTAGGTATTAGACCAACATGCAATATATTTTTCTTAATAATCATTGCATATGAAATCATGACAGAAAATTATTAAGTGCACAATTATATAGATTGAATCATTGGAGTGCTTTAAAAGCATATATGTAAAATAACTACATATTTTTTAACATCTATCAGTTGGTTGTCCAGCGCCAATATTCACAATCCAATCTACAAATTATGACCACGAAATTAGATTTGTTTTCATGCACTATAGATTACAATTTCGTGTTTTCCGACTAACACAAAGTTGTACAATTTCTTTTAACTTAGTTTTTTTCAACTCCTTCCAATTTGTATTGAAAAAAGTACATCTAAATAGTTTTAGATAATTTAACTCGAACTTGCTATGCAAAACAGAGTATGTACCTAGAAATAAAAATAAAATGATGATAAAAAGAGGCTTGTTTAAGCATCTTATAGTGAGAATCAACTGTTACAACAGCCTATGACAAGTATGAATGTGTATGTGCAGTATGTAAATACAGTGTTCCAAAATTTTTCGTAACTATCGGAGCAATTCCCCAACAAACAATGCGAACAAGTTTGGGGACTGTCTCCCTGCTGTTAACAAAAAAATAAAAAATAAAAGGACACGTAAAAACAGTGCCCGGACATTTTTTCTAAGCTTTCCAGAGCGGTTGTCATCTCCATTGGGAATAATGTGAGACAAAAAATTGGTAATCGGGAAGAAAAACCTGCAAATCCCGAAGCCAAGTATCCGCAGCCTGATAGAGTGTGTTACCTTGCTCGGATTCATGCGGCCCGCATGGACTTAGAAGGGATCCATTCAGTTTGTAAGAAGCAAGGCCAAAGGCTGGTAGAGAAAATCTTGATGAAGCAGCAGCAGCAGCTGGTTCAACCATTCCCTGTGTTCTCCTATCTCTTGAGCTATGAAGCTGTGGTGTAAAACTACCTGGTTGCCAAAAGAGGAGTATGGTTGCTTTAGGGTTTTTTTTTTGAATTGGGAAAATGGCATGGAATGAAAATTTGGGAATGAAGAGAATGCATGTGTGGTGGTGTGTGTGTGTGTGGGTGGGGAGGGGGTGTTGCTTGATATTAAGGTGTTGATTATGATTATGATGATGGTGTTTATGACTACTACATAAAGGAGAAGATATTTAAAGATGTAAAATACTAAATTTTGAAATTTTTTAGTCACTGGACTTTCCTAGATTTAGCTTCACACTTCAATTTTTCATCCATCTCCGAAAGATCTTTCAATCCCTTTTTTGGTTTAGACTTTTTTGGTTTAGACTTTTCTAGTATCAAGTCCTCCATATGAGTTTAGGATATCCCAGACCCATGTTTGTTGTTAGTAACAAAAAAATCTGCACAAAACTCATTCCTGAACCCCCACCAAACCCATTCTTTCAATCCCCCAAACCCCTTGGGTTTGGCCGAATCCATATTTTAGGCTTCAAATAATAAGATTTTAACTATTTATTTTTATGTTTCATTTACTCATTCACTCTTTCAAGTTTTCAACCACCTCTGGGGGCCGCCATCAAGATTTTTTTCCCATTTGTAAATATTTATACGTTGATAACCAATCACTGGGTATTGGGAATGGATTTGCAAAATGAACCTCCTGGCTTTCATTTATGATTCAAAACCCATACCTGAAATTGAACTAAAGAGGGCCTTAAGTTTTATTTTAAGGGAAAAATAATTGTGGCTGATATTGTTCGTTCTCTTTCTAAATAAATATCGACCACAATTTCATCTTCTTGATAAGCATCTCAAAAGTAATTGAGAATCTATTTTGAAGCGTGATATTTCCAAATTTCATACCATTTTCTGATTTCCAAACATAACCTTGGGAGAAGCAGATAGATAAAGATACTAGTAGAATACGTATTAAAAATTGAGTTTCTATGAACATACAGTTATAGAGAGGAAGGGGGCACCTCTAGAACGTGTGGACAGGGGATGAAAAGTTAAAAAGGATGCATCCAAATCCCGAAGCGTGTGGCCTAAGGGTATTCTATATATTGGATACCTGCATCAAAATTTTCTTGGTAAAACTAAATTTCATATGGTTTGTTAAATATCCTATTACTCCATGCATAAATCATAGCTATACCAAGCAACTGAAACCCAACTTGATGGCATCAAATCACAGCTCCTGCACTTCTTCAACTCTGGGAATTGAGATGCTAGAATTGCAATCTGTCACGTGAATTAAAAACTTAAAATAAGCATCTCAGGGGGAGACAAGTGAACTGTGAACAGACACTCATTCTGTTAAACACTACGACTTTAAGTAAATTATAATTCACCTTGTCAGCAAATGGTCTGCGATGATGTGGTTGTTCTTGTTCCATATACTCGAACAAGAGTTGCCCATTGGACTTGCCATCTTCACCAGAAAAGTTTCCGTTTAGTTGCCCGTCACCACCAGATCTGGGAGACCTATCTATTTCACAGTTAGTGCTGCCACCATTGCTAATTTCTCTTGCTTCAGAAGCATTCTCCTCACCGGCCCTTCTGAAAGAACAGTTCTCAAATGTTCACAAGAAGCAATGTGCATACATTTGACAGCATCACATGCCTTAAAAAAACAGATCATTATGAAAGAATGATGATATGATTTTGACACCAGACACATGTTATCTCATAATGCATACTCTGCTTGAATATGCATGAACTAGCATGTTTCCTGGATTTCACATAGGAAATGGGATTCCTTAATTACGAAACAACACTAAATTTCACAGTAAATCATTAGAGGCACTGCTCCGAGTTGGGAATAAGCTATTGCCCTAAAAATCTATGTAGGAAAGCAGTTTAGCATTTGACTTTTCACTATGGTGATTTTCCTAAAGATGTGCCATAACCGAAGACAAAACAAAGCATTAGTTCAACAATACCCATAGATAGGGGATTAGGTCTATCTCCAAATATTCATAAGATTATAGTAGTTTTTTTGTTATTGTAACATTAGAATGGTGGTTGTAACAAAGACGATATTCCTTGACTGGAAAGTTGGTAACATGTACTATTATAAGATAAAATAATTTACTAAAAAATAAAGTGGTGACCATAATACCATAAAAAAAGTGGTGACCATAATTGAACAGAAGGCTGAAATCCATATGATTAAGTTGGTGAGTTGGTAAGGGCTTCTCATCATTCAAATGCATCATATGTATGACCATACTATGAAAGAAAATTCAAGCCAGCAAGCAAATGCCTTACTATTTTAAAATGATGAAACCGGACTATCAACATATATTAACATGACAAAATTGGTGTTATCAAAACAACAAATACTCTCTTACTTGGTAAAAGGTGAAAATAATACAGTAGTACACAATAACAGAGAACACTGATAATGCATTACGCGAAATGTAGAGAAGATGAATTATTCTGGAAGCATCACACTGACAAAAGTTTACCTAAAGCACGAAGAGGACATCAGCGGGTCGATATACAATTGTATCCCAGACAGAAAGGGAACATAATATTGTACAATTTGGTCTTTTCCTTCCAACAACAGCGGCACACCCACTCCATACGCACTCCACTCACTAAAAGAATCCCAAAGATCCTTTAGGCAAAAGAATGCACTTGAATCTGCTTCATGATTCATCCGGCCTCTCACATTACCCTGAATACACAAAATTGTCACCAAATTACTAAAAACTATGGTAGCACCAATATACCCCAAACTCGTATGCTCCATATACCAAGAGCCAGGTAGAAGACATTACAAAATGAGACAAAGTGTATGGCTATTAGAAGCTATATTGAAATGAGACAAATAAGCATGAAATAGAGAAGAATTGAACTACAATTTGCAGCACGTGAAGAAATTAGTAGATGGGAATATAGAGATTTTTTTGCAGAGCCCCGTTATCCTCTAGCAGGTTATAGCACGGTTTTGCCAGATATTTTCTCCAGATGCAAACCCTAACTCTTCCAATATATACCTCAGAAGTATGGTGCTGAGCTGACACCAATGGAGTAACCGATTCCAGCAAGCGATCCAAGTTGGTGACGTTCGCTGGCGGAGAAGAAGAGCAAGCGGATGACGTTTTAGACAATGTCGCCCCTGAATTGCCAGCCTCCGTCCAGTCCCCATCCCCAACCGACGCAGTAGCAGCCACCTCCGCTTTGCTTCTCTGCAACAGCTGCTGCTGCTGGAGTTTGACGAGCTGCTGCTGCTGCTGCATCTGTTGCCGCCGCATCGCCGGCGGGCTGTAGAATCGGTCTCCGCCGTGGCTCCGGGAAACAGCAAAACCTCCGGAATTAGACATCTTATGGCGCTCCAAATGCGCACCGAACAATCTTCAATACAACTCTATATATACGAGTGCTCCGTGTGTGTGTGTGTATATATATATATATCTACGACGACACTTGTTTATGCATGTAAGTATCAAAACAGAGCTCTGCAGAAAAGAGAATCAGTCGATTGAAGTTGAGAATCTGTGTGGTGGGAGCAGAGATTAGGGTTTTGTTTGAGGATTTTTGGTGGCTCTCTGGGGACGAAGTACGGCTGTCAGAGTCATTAGGCACACATTTATTAGCAGAGATGATAATAAGACACCCCCCGGCAAACAGAGAGGGGAGAGAGATATTGAAATTAGAACCCAACGACTGGTTGGTTTCCTTTATTTAATTGAAGATTAGATTAAATTAATGCACCCATTATTTTTAGGGTCCGTTTGCCTTGGTACACGAAATTGATGGAATTAGAATTGAATAGGAATTAAAATTTTATGGGATCCAATTCCATAGAAATTGAACTCACCCATTCCAATTCATTTTCTGCACTACCAATTCCAAATATACATAATTTTTGTGCTACCAAACATTAGGATTGGAATTGAAGTCCTCAATTCCAATTCCATAATTTGAATTCCGTGTACCAAACGGGGCCTTAATCATTTTCTTGTTTTTTCTTCCCACTTAGAGCATGTTTTTTCGTGAAAAAAAAAGAGCTGGTTATTGAAAGAAATTGGAATGAATGAAAAAGTAACTAGAAGAAGCCCAAAAGTACTTCTGCGGGACATGCTTGATTCAATTGATAGTCTTTCATACGGGTCGAGTCAGATTTGAGTATTAAAAATTCTTATAATATAACATCTCGATCCAACTTGAATTCCGACCCAATTCGCATTTTTATCAAGTCCAATTTAAAATGAAGCTTCTTTTACAGTATATAAAGTTTGACAAAAGTTATTTTAAACTCAACATGTTTTTAACTAAATTTTGCATAGAAATTAAGAATAAAAACAAAGTATTTAAAAATTATATTAAAAATTCCACAAATAAAAGTGGTGAACTAAATATGGAATTTTATTAAATAATCATTAAAAATTCATAAAGAAAGATGTATTTTCATGATGTGAATTGTAAAGAGGAGTTGTATTTTGGGTATAAATGCTAGAGCTACAAACAAAAATAATTCATTTTCACAAATTTGTTGTTTGTAAATACAAATGTTTACTTTTTAATTATTTGAGAGTTTTTTATTATTTTAATAATGTACACAAATACAGAGTAGCAAGATTTTAAGTTTTGTGTCATTTATGTATGTATAACTTTAATATTTCTCTATATTGGACGAAATAAATATACTTCGAGTGTATTTTATTTTTAAATTTTACATGAGATTTTGTATATATAGAATTAAAAATGACTTTAGCTAAACTATGAGATTTTTAAATTTTACATGAGATTTTGTATATTTTTAAATTTTACATGAGATTTTGTATATATAGAATTAAAAATTTTACATGAATTTCATTTGAGTACTCCCTCCTCCATATAGTTAAACTTTATTCTCAATTACTCTATTCTTTATGCGGTCAAATTTAATGATTTTCTTTACTTATTTTCTTTACACGTTCGATAAAATAATATGATCATGTCATTTTATGTTTAGTGCTTCCTCCATCACGTTACTTTTGAAGATTATCATTTACAGCTTCCATACAATATTTCAATTTGGCATAAATAAATACAAGTGTCCATACTTTCTGCAATCTAATCATACCAACATTAATTGCTTTATATGCCATACACATTTTGACATTCGAGCCATACTCATTTAAATTTTCATCATTTTGTCTTGATCAAATTTCTACAACTCCATGTCCTAAAAATCAAAACAGAAAATATTTTACGAGATGAAAAAAGTAGAATTTTAATTGCTATATTTTTTATTTTTACACATACAATCAAATAGGTTAAATTAAAAAAATAACTTATTGATACTTTCTACTCTCTAACCCGCTAAACCTCACACTCCTCTCTAAATATGAGGGGTTATTTGTGATCTAATCTGATTCTAATATGAAAAAGTAACAAATAATAAAAATAAATTAAGAAAACATAATTTTAAAAAGGATAATAATCATCAATTATCATGTATTTTAGAAAGAATACTTTTGGACGTGGGGGTATTTTAGAATTTATTACACGAGTAATTAAGAAATGTTTAAAGGGGATGTTTTTCTTGAGGGAAGTGGAAAATTGGAAATTGTGGCGAATCGGGTGGGCGAGGATGGTTCAATAGTTAATTAATTTCTTTTTTTTTTACTTTTTCATTGATTTTCCGCCATCCGATCGCAAACCTACCCCCCAATTCCTGAAACAAATCTTCTGCCAGATCCCATTTCCATATCTCTGTCTAATTCTTCGATTTCATCGAATCTCCAAACAGTTGCGAGCGAACTCTCATCATTCAATCCAATAATTTGTCGAGGGAAGGAAGAAGACGACAGGTGGGGAGATAGATACAGTTATATATATACAGGGGATTCTTCTTCCAATTGCTCCTTTTTGAGCTTCTCCTCCTGGCCATGCGAAGCTGGTCGTCCGCTATTGGCCTCTCCAGAGAGGGCTTTTCCGGTGAATTTCGCCCCGCCGCCGCCGTTGACATTTCCGCTGAATTTATCTTTCGATTCGTTCTCCGTACGTATAATAGCAATGGCTTCAGATGCTCATGGCCCTAGTCCTCGAGGTCTTCTCTGCAATGCCGGCGCAGGTGCCGCCGCGGGTACTTGTTTTCTTCCCGAACAGCAAAGTCAATAGTGTTGCGTTTCAGTTGTTGATTGGATTATTAGACAGGAGTTTTAATCTTTTGCAGGAGTTATTGCAGCTACTTTTGTATGCCCTTTAGATGTTATCAAGACAAGATTTCAGGTCCACGGGCTACCAAAGCTTGGCAGCACTAATATTAGGGGTACTACTTAGTGAATTGCAGCAAGACTTAATTTTTCTTAAATTTTCTGCATAAGTAGGCAGATTTGAAAGTAAACGTCCTGATTATTTGAGGGGAAATCTAATACTCTGCATTTTTTCCCTCTTGTTTGTTCAGGGAGTCTTATACTTGGTAGCTTAGAACAGATATTCCAAAGGGAGGGATTGCGCGGGATGTACCGTGGGCTTTCTCCCACGGTTTTGGCATTACTTCCAAATTGGGCAGTACGTGGTCGCACCCTCTCTGAATTCAATCCTTTTGCTTCTAGAATACCTTTGAGGCCGTGACTGACCTTAGTTCAGTACCACTTCCGTCTATTTTGAATGATAGAACTAATTTGTTATGCTGTTTGATACTTTGATTTGGTGTAATTTTCTTTTAAGGATTGGCTAACATATCATGCTTTGGAGAAGTACAAGTTGTGCAACACTTAGCTTTCTCATACACTATCTATACTCTTTTGCTTCACTTTGTTTACCATATATGACACTGATCTAATCTGACTTTAACCCTTAGGATCTCATATGAAAAAAGAAAAGAAAGAAAAACACAATGCCAGTAATGCTTCTAAGAAAAGGCAATAAAATTACTGTAAACCTCTTCAGTTCCATTGCTGCCTTTATCTGATTTTCGTTCACCCCATGCAGTTGGTGGAGTACTTATCCATGTTTCCTTCCCAACTATGATCATATGTGCCCGGTATTGAGTTGGACACAATGCTATATAGCATCCGTCACACCACTAACAAACATTTAAGAAACAACTCTAGCCTGTGATATAGCAAGAGTCCACTTTTCCCTGTTTTCATTACTGTAAAAAAGAGGCAGTATGTTTTGCTTCTTTCATGTTTTTCAACAACTAGAAAGCATTGTATATGTGTTTGTGTGTATATGTGTGTGTGTGTGTGTATATATATATATATATCTATATATAATGTAAGAAAGCTGTTTATGTCTGAAGTGTTCCAAATCTTTTCTTCTTGTCTGGGTTTTAAGCTGGGTAAGATTGATAGCATTAACCTATTAACTGAAATGATCCAGCATTTGATGATATCTTTTGCAGGTGTATTTTACAATATATGAGCAGCTGAAATCTTTTCTCTGCACTGATGGTCAGTTAATTTCTGTCTAGTTTCTTTCTCTTAAAACTGAATACTCTGTTTTCTCTGTTAGTTTTGAATATGTGTTATTGGTCATTTAGATGAAAGGCATCATCTTTCTATTGGAGCAAATATGCTTGCGGCTTCTGGTGCTGGGGCGGCAACTACAATTGCCACAAATCCTCTTTGGGTTGTGAAGACTAGACTTCAGGTGTGTTTTTCTTCACTATAGTTCCACTGTGTCCAATGATTATGCTCCATTTACCGAAAGCCTTTGTTATTCTCTCTAAGCAGAAGGTGTTTCACTTTGCATCATTTGGTTCCTAACTTTTTTTGGAAAAGAAATAAGACGGAAATGTGAAATGCTTATGTATTTATTATATGACAAGGTTTTTTTTACTAATGGAGCCAAACGAGTAATTATTGATAATGTTTTGAGTTCACCCAAATACCAGACAAAATCAAAATTGCACATTGTACTTGTGAAGTTTGGGCAATAAATGGATTAAATGCAACAGTGCATCAAGGGTATAGCAGAAACAGCCTCTCTGTATTTTACAGGGGTAAGACTGCACACAACTTAACCCTGGTCCCCGACCCCAATGGTGTTGGGATTATATTGGGGTTTATTGTATTGAGAGATCTCAAAACTCCGTTTCTGAACTTGTGCAGACTCAAGGAATGAAAGCTGGCGTGGTTCCATACAAAAGTACACTATCGGCATTAAGGAGAATAGTTCTTGAAGAGGGCATCCGTGGGCTGTATAGGTTAGCTGTCTATTTCAGTATATTCTCTATAATGCATGATGCATTGGATTTCCAATAGCTAGTTAAGCTTGTTGATTGCCTACATGTTTCTTTTTGGTGGTTAGTGGTCTTGTGCCTGCTCTTGCTGGTATCAGTCATGTAGCTATCCAGTTTCCAACATATGAGAAGATCAAGATATTCTTGGCTAATCGAGGTACTTGATATATCAGGTTTTTTTTCCTTATGTGTCTCAGAACTTCTACATGATACACTGTTTGGAACTCATATATTTACAGTGAAAGAGAAATTATATAGAGTACGGGGTATATACCAAGGAAATTATATTTTCATATTTTTGATCTAACCTTTTTATAATTCGCTTATATTAGGTTTATTAGTATTTATCTAGGGAGTATGAAAAAATATGAATCATTTTTGTTTTGT